ATATTAAAATAGGAGGAAAGAACGATAGTAGGAAATCCAAAAGATAAACAATTGAAAATGGTCGAGGAAAAGGAGAAAATAAAGGTCGGAGTAGAGTCGGATGTAAAAAGTAAAAGAAGTCGACTATGACGATCGATATCGACCGTGGGTCTGAGTTCGGGGGTAGCGTATTAAAGGGCGTGTTGGTAAACGTAAGATTAAGTCTTGGACGTGGTTCGGAGGTAGTAGAGACAGCAGCAACATCGGCGGTGATGAAAGCGACTTGGAAGTCGCATCACGTATACAGCCGGAGCAGTTGCGCGACACGGCTTCGCTTTTATCGTCATTTCAAACTCTGAAAATATCACACACTGCCAGTTTTTAGTTCGCAAATTGTTAATTCGAAACGGTAAAAAGCCCCCGAGCGGAATTAGTCAAAGGGTGTTCAGACGCTTTAAGTACAAACTGCGAAACAAAACAACTGTCCCATTTCAAAACACCGACACAGACCGCGAACAATGACATTGCCATATACGTAAAACGCTCCTTAGTCCTCACTTTCTTCTCTGGAAACTGCATTAATCCTCAGCTACTGCTTCGTTTCTTTACTTTTAGTCGCAAAATTCCATAAAGTCGTTGAAGTTTGCGATTTTTGTAAAAAATATATTACTAAACATATAACACTACAACACCTATTTAAATAATTGACAAACAGCATGAACAATAATAAAAATGAACTAAAAATGTATTATATGACTGCTTATATCATTTAATAACTAACTTCTTTTATAGAAATTCATCAAAAGGAACTCTAGATATTCCCTTACCATCAATATCCTATACATTTCCCGTAAGAGTATTACGTAAACACATTTTTAGTAATTTACCTTATCTGAGAGAAACGGTAATCAATTATTCATATTTATTAATCAGTATCTCGGAAAAATCATAATCGTTACAACAGTTAATTTACCATTTCTCAAAGGTATTTCCATGTCCGCGTTATACCTGTCTTTAATGAATAATATTTATTTAATACCCCTATTATCAAAACCGGAGAAAATACTCCCTATAATGTGATTACGTAATACTTAAATGATTCCTTACACACTTGTTTGAAACATAAAAAAAAACACNAGTCCCGAAACTGGGATAAGGAGGTCCTTCAGGATAATATAACTTTACAGATTTTGTTCCTAACACCTATGAACAAAACTATTAAAATTTGGCATTTAAATTTCCAAAACACTAGCGTCTATAAGATTAGCAACTTTGACCACAAAAATTTGCATGAGAAAATACTCCCTATAATGTGATTACGTAATACTTAAATGATTCCTTACACACTTGTTTGAAACATAAAAAAAAACACATTGTTTTCAATACCATATATTTACCTAAGTACAAAAATACAAAATATGTAGGTACCTTATTCATTAAATAATTACATCAAATAAATAAGGCAGTTTAGTGAATGTGCACGAGATACTCCATTATAGAAATTCATACAACGGTAAGTATCTACTTATATATGTATTTAAAGTAATGATATATATAATCCACAATATCGTATCCTTAGACATATGTAGGTTAGCACCCATACTAATTGTAAATATTATTTCTATTTCCAGCTTCGAGTATCTGCCGGTAGGTGGCACGCTCAAGATGATCAGCAATTACATTTCAATCGTTTATTTATAAGGCAATAGTGGACCTCAGAAGGGTTTGGATGCGGGTGGGATATAGTCTAGGCCCGCTTAGTTGCTTGAGAAGCTTAATAATGCCGCGGCTTTGCCGCGGCATTACAAACCTATTGTTTTTAGCTTCTCAAGCAACTGAATGAGCTTAGACTATATCCCGCCCGCATCCAAACCCTTCTGAGGTCGACTATTGCCTTATAAATAGGCGATTGAAATGTAACCGCTGATCATCTTGAGCGTGCCACCTACCGGGAGATATTCGAAGTTGAAAATAGGAAATATTTACAATTACTACAAGTACTACTATACACACATACATACTAACTTATATACATATATTTATAAATAAAAATAATACAATTACTAGGGATATTAATCTACCTATATATATTTATTGGCTGTTTGATTTTCCTGTCCCAAATTAATGACGTATTAATTTACGTATTTGATATTTACGTTAAATAAAGGATTATCCTACAGACAAATTACTATGCAAATGCTTACAAGATTACACATGCTGCTTGCTTGCGATAATTGCTTTCCGGTCATAGTGAAAATTAGTTTTCCACGATATATTTATTGCATGCCTTCGTAACATATGATAGGTATGGTGATTTAACGTCTAGTACCCATTGAAAGCCGTGCAATCCACAGCCCAAAGGGCTCGAACGGTCGTGAAAATTTATATGAAAATATTTTAAAATTACATGCTAATGAAAGAACAGGAAGTTTAGTTTTAGTGTCTACAGATAAAAATATTAAAACAAGCATTTGAATTTCTAAAATTTTTCAAGTTTATTAAATTAGCAGAACTATAAAAAATTCACATATCTACTACAAGTCTGGAAACTGGAGTACGGACGTAGCTCAGAAAAATATAATTTCACAGATTTTTTTACTAATGCCATGGACAAAAATGTTAAAATTTAGTAATTGTATTTCGAAAATAAGGAAAGTTATAATACTAACAATAATGACTGCAACAAATTGACATATTGCAAGTACTGAAATGGGATAAGGAGAATCCTCAGGAATGTATGACTTTACAGATATTGTTTCTAGTGCCTATACACAAAACCATTAAAATTGGCATTCCAATTAATAAAATACTCCTAATGTTATAATACTAAAAATTTTGACCCCAAAAAATTTACATACTTCAAGCTCCGTAACTCAGGATAATATAACTTTGCAGACTTTGTTCCTAACGTCTATAGATAAACTTGTTAAAATTTGGCATTTAAATTTCCAAAACACTAGCGTCTATAAGATTAGCAATTTTGACCAGAAAAATTTGCATATTTGAAGTTCCGAAATTGGGATAAGGAGGTCCTTCAGGATAATATAACTTTACAGATTTTGTTCCTAACACCTATGGACAAAACTATTAAAATTTGGCATTTAAATTTCCAAAACTCTACGAGTTACAACACTAGCAATTTTGACCAGAAAAATTTGCATATTTCAAGTCCCGAAACTGGGATAAGGAGGTCCTTCAGGATAATATAACTTTCCAGATTTCATTCCTAACACCTATGGACAAAACTATTAAAATTTGGCATTTAAATTTCCAAAACAGTAGTGTCTATAAGATTAGCAACTTTAACCACAAAAATTTGCATATTTTAATTACAGAAAATAGAATAAGGAGGTCTTTTAGGAAAAAATTCTCTTGACAGATTTTATTTTAATTACGTTGTTTTTTCCAGGGTGGTGGTCAATTATTAGACAACTATGTAACTTTTGTAACGTTTCGATTTATTTAACCATCTCCACACTTTTGGAGTGTTACTGCTTGTACACAGATATTAACTTATTTTTAAAGTTTCTATCATACTGAACAACTGCTTACTGGTATGGTAAGTATGCGTTACAAGAAACATATAGTTTTGTAATTAATTGACCACCACCTTGGAAAAAATTACATAATTTAGTAGTAACGATCAGGAATCTAACTTACATTTGTTTTTTTTTTAATGCCTGAACAAAATTATTAAAATTAAAAAAAGTCATAAATTCTAGTGCGATAGTACTACAAATTTTGATTTTAAAAAATTTACATATTTCAAGTCCCGAAACTGATACAACCTTAGGAAAATATAGGGCTTGTTCCTACTTCCTAAGACATAGTGATTGAAATCTGGTATTTGAATCCCTGATGTTATGACACTAACAATATTGACTGCAAAACATTAACATACTGAATATACCGAAATTGGGATATAGAGATCGCTCAGAAAAACATCACTACAAATTTTGTTCTTACTTTATACACAAAAAATGTTAAAACCTGGCATTTTTATTTTGAAAACTATGCAATATTTATTATAAAATACTGACATGTTGACCCTGAATGATTAGGCCTGTTAAACAATTTATTAATTAATAAGAAGTAAAAACAAACGGTCTACAAATGGTCATTATGCTCTTCCTGAAATACATTTTTTTAAATATTCTATTGTACATATGTATCTAAACTCTTTACTTTTTTCTATTTTTAATGAGAAGGGCATTTGCTATAACTTGGTAAGCTTTTACATGTACTACATAACTTTCATTTACAGAATACTACCTTTTTACTGCTTAGTGTTTGGTGATTTAAAAAATAACATAGCATTTAAAAGGGTACAGGCACAGTTTTTAATAATAAATACACTATCTACATTGAAATGCGACGTTGGGCCTTGCGAATAGATATAAAAATCAAAATAGATCAAAATAGAGAAAACTCACCCTGTAAAGATCGATGTCCCTACTAATATCCTCGATCGATTTCACAGCTGATGTTTCTGAGGGCACAGAAATATTCATACGACGAACTTCATCCTTAAGTAGAAGCATTTCCTTTTGTAAATTTCTGTACTCTTGCATTATATTAACCTTATCCCTGAGTTTTTGCCACTGCATCATTAATTCTGAAACGAAAAAACCACGTTTTGTAAAAATAATTGGCCTTCACGCACCCACCAAAATAAATCAGAAATATTTCGAATGTTCCACTGTATTTCAATTTTTAACTCACGCAAAAAATACAGCACGCAACTGTTTCGATTCTGTTACATGTCAACCGAGGAATGAAAAACATTCAATATTTTAAACGATGAGGTGTAGGTCGAAAAAAAAAACAAATTAATTCACTTATGAAATAATGAATGATCTCAGAATTACAATTTGATGTCAATGTGTACCTACATTCCCACTCGTTGTGGCATTTTATTATACGTTTAGAAAAAAGTAGTAGAAATTCCATTGGTTTCCAAGCAACTCCTTTGCGTGAAAATACTGCTATCTGCTATTATTTTCAACTTGGCAGCATTTAAAATACTCTGAGCACTGATGAACACACACAGTAACTGATGTTACGCTTCTATGTACTTCCGGCTATTTGCTGCCAGCATGAAAATAAGAAGTTGCACTTTGAAATTTGCCGCAAGACCTTACTATTTCTATATATAAACAATAGTTGTACAATCAACTACAAAAGAAATGTGCACCGTGTACTGATATGTATGTATGAATATTACCGAATCAAATTAAATAAAACCTTCATAAATCGCAGAAAAACAATCTAATTTTTAACGGTATTTAATCTTATTATTTTTTCTTGCAGTTGTGCTCATTATGTACTTACAGGTACTTAATCTATATGCTTTTTGGAGGACATATGCATTTTCAACAGAAATCAAAGAATTAAAAAACGGCTATCGACAGGTTTCAGGACTTACTACAAAATTTCAAATCTCTATTCCAAATATTAAACTCATGATATCTAGAACAAATGAGCATGTACTATGACGCGTTCCCCTGCACATTACATTTAGGTTTAGAAATTTAATTTCGGAATCGGTCGTTTTAGCAAAACAAAACTAATTTTATACTAAAATTATCTTTAAAATATAAACTAAAACCTGAGTTATCTAAAGTTGACGTTACAAAGTTTGCTAAAACTGATGAACTGAATTAAAAAACAGCTTCAATGGATTTTAACAAATATTTCGCCAAACATTGGCTTGGATATTATTTGTTAAACCATCACCTGATGAACCAATGTTTGGAGAATAAGTGTTAAAATCTACTGAAACTAAGTATTTTTTAAATTCATTTTACTATGAATGAATATGTGTATCTACCCTTTAAATTTTAAGAAAGACATTTACTGATAAAAATGGATTTCGAATTTCCTTTAGCTGAATGTATTGAAATTAACACTGCTCACCAATTCTATTTCGCGCGAAGAAATGAACCTGATGACCACAGTTGCATTTCACTAACTGATACTGAACGCGTAACAGGTAAGTTCTCACTTAAAAATTCCAACCAAATGTGAATTAACAAACAAGCAGCTTGCAAATATGTGTGTCAAGTTCATAGTTCAAAAACACATTAATCAAACTTTTACCGAGAAAGTACCGGACATTTCAGATGGATTTCAGTTTCGCTAATTACTAAAACTTTCGAAAATACAAATTCCGACGAAATTCTGTTTTGCAGAACGAACGAGTCTGAAATTCAAAGACAACTAACTTAAAATACCAGCAAGCGAGTGGGCCACTGGTCGAGGTTGACATGAATATGAAAAGTTTTACATGCACATGACAGTGAATTACGAACAAAAAAAAGAGGTAATAAGAACAATCGCGATTGAACAAGATAACAAATTAACAAATTCGAAAGTAAGAAAGGCATTAAAGGAATGGCCCTCTAGCTTAAGCTTAGACCGGCTTCGTTGGAGTAGAAAGAGTAATAAAATTACCCATGCGAACAGATGTTGAGCAATTAATCTACTTCTCATCATTAATTTGATGCTGAAATAAATACAGTGTGTCACACTGGTAAATATTTCATCTCAATATTTTCTATATTTCTTTTTACACACCATCTGAAATTGTGTAAAAATGCTTAAGGGAAATTAAACATTATTCAAATGATGATTTAACAGTTTATGACCACCCATAAATACATTAAATGTTTCGGTCAGCTAATTTAACGATTTTAGTAATAAACTTAAGCGCTGGATGTGTTTGTTCAAAGAACCGATTTCCTAGGTCAAAATAATTATACCAAGAATGCTGTACAAGAAAATCAAATAGTGTGGAAGTGAATTAGATAAAATACTAAAACCAAAAATTCCAATTAACATCTTTAAAAAACGAAACGCTTTTCCACACCCAAGATGTTCTCGTACTCAAACTGAAACTAACAAAGACCTACAATTCCACATAAAAACGTTTAAAAAATCTAACACGAGTTTTGGGTTTTAGTGATTTATTTACCAAGAATGCAAGAATATTAATAGTTTGCATTTTTAATTGGCTAATTTGTATGAGTCAGTGTTTTTATGAGGAGTTTACTAAATGGATTCACACACGCAAAAATAATTGATAACACCTTACATTAACATCTAAAAGGCAAGTGAGAAACTAAGGGAAGTTTTAACAACAAATTGAAAAACAGGATGAAACATAATTTACCACGTAATCTAATTCGATGAGAGTTCATGAGATGAAGTACAACCTATTAGACCGTCAATTTTACTGATAATGACTATGTAATGAGATCAAAACAGTTGTTACTATTTTTGAAGGAAAATCTTGGCAAACAATAGTCAATTACGAATAATTAATGATTAGGTACATGTCCATGATATATAAAACGTTAAATTCTATTATTGTTTAACAAACTTATGATTATAATTATATCTTATATATGACTAAATTCAAAATTTAAAAGATAATCTGAGTATTTGTAAAATCCACTCAAGACGATAGATTACAAATAAAATTATATTTTGTAGTAAAAAAGACTCACCATTTGTTTCATTTTTCTCCATTTTCAGGAAGGAAAACTCTTCTGGTGACTTTTCGATGACGTTGAGACAGTAAATATGCTGATCACATGTAGCCAATAATTCATCCTGTTAATTAAAAAGAAACCAAAATTAAAATGATATAATACAAAAATAAAGAAAACCCATTATGTAATGCTTTCTCCCAATTGATACTTACGCCACTATTAGCTACGAGATATTCCTTCAACCCCATGTTAAATTGTTGTTTGTAAATGTTTGTGGTATAAAGTAGTTGACTTCTGGACTCTTTTAAGAAATGTTTTACATTTTCCGAATCACTTTCAGATTCTAAAGCGTTAAATGGCTGCAACGTTTTTCTTTTGAGTTGTGGTGAATTTTCGAAATTCATTGAGGGGCTCGACCAATCTGACTGACTGTCTAAAAAGATACGATAATCTTCTCCAAAGTTCAAAAGTTTACGAGCTGCGTCAGAGTCATGCGCTTCACTGTATGCCTCCGATAAATATTTTTCCTAAAATAAAAGAAACAATAAATAAATAGTTATAATTATAAAATTGGAGTGGAGTACACGTTTTGTTAATAACTTTGTTAAATTGGTTTCATACCTGGTAACTATCCCACGCTTGTTCTGATAATGAACTGGATTGTTCTTCGGCAAGGTTTAAATTATTTTTTTCTCTGGCACAGTCGCCTAAATCTATTCCAAGATAAGAAGTAGCAGCACCGATTTTGAAATTTGGAGTTCTGAAAACAGCAATAAAAAACTATACTCACACATTTCCACAGTACTTTTAATAAAATTTACCATGTAAACTACTGCTTAAGAATGAAGTAAAACATAATATCTAGGTTTGGTAAGTATACAAACATTAATTTCATAATATTCAATAAATACGTATGTTTGTAAATTATTTGTAAACAATGTGTATAATGATGATAAAAATAATTATTTAAATAACGTGGAACACATGGAACATCTAACCTTTGACTTCTTCGTAAGACCATAGCATAATGAAGGACAGACAAAGGATAATCAATCCAAAAAAAACTAATGTCATTAAGATAAACGCGTAAGATGTTTTAATAACAATTATTTCAATGATATCAAACTATTACAATAAAAAAAGCAATTACTTTATAATTGTTTCTTTTAAAATAAAAAGTAGATAACACACCTTTTACTATTAGGAATAAGACTAAAAGGTCCACAAATGAGTTAAATGTAAAACTTTAAAAACTAATTATTTTATTGTTCATTTTTCTAAATACTTACATGGTTATTACAATATAAAAACTGTGAAACTTCAATATTATGTTTTACTAAAAGGAATTGAAAAGTTTTAAGTAATAGACTCTAAACCCAATTAATAAAGAACATTAAGCTCTTGGCCAGTAATGTATTGAAACTATCAGACGAAGATAGTGATTTCGAACTTTTAGTTTAGTTATCATCAGCACGTTATGGGTAGTTTCGATAAATAAACGGTCCAAATCGAAATTGATCATCAAAAGTGAAACTGACTATGGTAATGTTCCCTTAACTTTTTTATATGCAAGCCCTTTTGCATTTAAAAAACTTAAAGGCCCCCCGTGCCGAAAACCATGCCCATACTGATAAAATTAACTGATGCCAATGCACAAACCAACAGTTAATTTAAATTCAGCAGGAAATAATTGCTATTGTTTAATTGCATTAAAACACTCATTATTATAATTAACAGCAGATATACTTTTAGTATCAATAAAATTCTCTAGTAATCAATTTTTCTGCAAACCCCTTAGTATTTCTCCCCCTTGGACTCGCGATCCCCACATTGAGAATCACTAGCCTACAAGTTTCTCTATATATATATATATATATACATCTACAGAACCCACAAACATTCACTGTAACACTGCCCATATCACTAAAGGTGTACGGATGTCTAGAAGTTGCTACTTACAGATCGGGACTCTCTAATTGATAATTATTACCTTTTGCTTTGTCTGTCGTCCTCACTTTCTGCACCACTAGTATTTGATGTATCGCACCTTCCGCCACGTCTTGTTGAGTAACCAAGGACTAGATCGCAAGGATCGCTAACGGCATGTCTTTCTAACTTGGCTACTTTGCAGCCGCATCCAGAAAATGAATCAGATTTTACAATGTGGATCAAGGAAGCAGTATTCAGGCAGTATTGGTCGTTGACTTCGCTTCTTCTTTTGGACTAAATAGAAAAATGTATACATCAATATTTATGTATTTATAAAGAGTAAAAGAGAAAGAGCATCTTAATTTCGATTAATTGGCATTTTAAACTAATTGATTTTATAAGTTATAATTTCCTTAATGAGACAGTTATATAATGAGCAAATTAAATTAATGAACATTAACCAGTGCACTTACACTAGATTTCCTTTTCAACTTCAGCCTCTTCCGCCTATTTGGAGATGTTCTTTCTTCCAAGACAGCAGCACCACATTCTTCCATTGTAGATGAGGTCGAATTACCATGCATTCCTATGCTGGTTGCACTAGTTGTCAAACTTTTACAATATTTCGGGCTCAGTGATATTCTGTTTAATGCCGATTCCGATATAGAAAGATGAACAGAATCAATTCTGAAAGCAAAAATACGACATTAATAACATATTAGATATATATTTGCTATTTTCTACCTTGGTGACAACTGCGACAACTGTGAGATGCATGACACACTCCAGGGTCTGTTGGCTTTAACTTCACACTTCTTCTGTCTCAGTACTACTTTAGAGGCAACGTCTGATTTATTTAAATCGTTGAACGAGTCGTTATGGGATCCTGAAGTGTCGTTGGGTTTACAAGTTGTAATGCTTTCATTCAAATCTTCGGAGGTCTGGGATTCTTTTTCTTCATCTTCGCAACTAGCGTCACAGCTGTCGTCAGGGCGGTCCATATTAAGCCATTCCTTTACCCTCGATATTTTGTTTACTGGGGTTGAAACAGACGCACATTTGGTTTTTCTCAGGGGTGTTTCACGCACTAATTCTTCGGCCTTCTGTACTAGTCTGTGTATATTTTGGTACGAATTTTTGGACGATGAGTGGCGTCTGATTTCGTTTCTATCAGACGATCGTTTTGGATTATTGTGTTCGATTTTGTTGGTGTAGGTCCACTCTTCTTCGGAGCTTTCGTCGACCGCTGCAGGCATTTCGATTACTTTCGATTGTTTCATTTCGCAATCTGTATCCTCGTGTTTGAAGTAGTAAGTGGCAAGGTTCTTGCCTTTCCGGCTAGGCCTAAAATGGAAATTTTAGTAGAACAAAGAATCATCTTTAAATGGCCATTACATACTCGGTAAAGTGGGAAGACGCTTCTGTGACAGTACTAGCAGCAATTTCTTCTTTAGGTTCGTAGTTAACTTTTAGGTCACCAGCACTGTCGTGTCTAACCATTATGGCATTAGAGGATTCCAGATTGGTCGTTTTGTTCGATTCAGTCTGAAATAACAGTTCCTGGTTTAATTACTTTTAAATATAACCAACACAAACATTTAAAAGATAAATAATTTTATTACTATTTGTACTAACTTCGGTGTAGCAATTATCATCAGCTGATGTAGACTTTGACATGGAGGATGGTTCATTTAAGCGAGGATATTTTGAAATTGGCTCATCATAATCACTGTCTGATGATACTGATGGGGTATTTCGTCCCTGAATGGATTAAATGATAGCGTTAACCATATTGATAAATTACATTAAGAAATTAATCGAATGAAAAATTAACTTCAAAGTTACAAAATCATGTTTCTGATTCTCATTATTTACATTATACAAATAGAGTAATGTATTAAAGTTGTCCTTCACCCACCTAATTTTATAAAGGACTTTTTTGTGGTCATGTGTGAGTAAACTTACTAACTACTATAATTCAGAGCTACTACATTTTTTATGGCGTCGTGGATCATATTTAAAAGCAGAAATGACTCACGTTTTTGTGACAAACGACTGCATTATTCCAGATAAAAAATAGGTTTTTGTCAGGAAATTACATCAAATAAGTAGGCATATTTGTTAAACGACAAATAGATATAAAATTAAGCCTTTCCTTTAAAATGTTAAAACTGTTCATAATTAATACCTTAATTCCTTTCGTTATCTGTTAAGCTTTCATTAATTCCTATTATCAGAAAATCTATCTGAGACAGAATTTATCCTAAGCATTTTTTTTTTTATTTTGATACAATACAGGAGATTTTGACGCAATTGAAAATTGACAAGTTTACAAGGAGCAAACTAGTAAAGTCGAAAATTACGTTTAATTGAAATAATAGCGCAAAACTTGTTTTATTATTGGATACAAGTTAATAGTTATTATGTATGTGGCATGAAACTTAACAGTTGTTGTAGTTTCTTCAAACTATCCATTTACGATAATAGTAATGTCGCTGTCCTATGACTTTAATAGTACTTTAAAACCGGATACAAGCACCAAGTAATGCCGGTATTACCATTTAAAGAAACAAGGCTTATTTTCCGTTATAACAGAAGGAATTAAATGTAACTTCAATTACATAAAATGGTAACAAGATCAATTCTACAAAATCGACTCAGTTACAATAGCAAATTAAAATTGTCTTTGAAACAGCTCAGCGGACTTACTCTGGAGATGAGTTTTTTGGAGAGTGAATCAAAGTAGCATTGCCATTCCAGGGATCTTAAGAACAAAAGGTGCCAACGTCTCTCTAAACTTCTGGCTACACGACGTACACTGACTTCATTATCACCGACATCGCCACGACGTTTGCAAAGTTTCACAACCGAAGTTACTATTTTTCCGTGACTTTCAATATCACGGTGCAACACCTGAAACAAAATAAAATTTTTATTAAACAACAACAAAAGAATAATCACCATCACAAACATTGTAATAATCTATCAAATTTGGTACATCAATTCTTAATTTTATTTTCGGTTTATGGGCCTCACTACTATTACAAAAATTTACCGTCTAATATATATTTTTTCTGAAATCAATTCTTAATTTTATTTTCGGTTTATGGGCCTCACTACTATTACAAAAATTTACCGTATAATATATATTTTTTCTGAAAATGCGTTAAATTATATACTTGTACATACGTATAGTAATGTATTTATACAAGAAGGGAATCTGCTGTATGTAATAAATAAGGTGTAAGGTGTGGTATAATCGCACAATTTATTCTGGTGTGTCATTTATTGTTCTCATGTGTGAAATTAAGGCAGACTTTGACGTTTAAGAACGAATATGGAGTTGTGTTTGGTATTCGATGAAGTTGCAGAAGAAAGATAGGAAAAGGGCAGTCGTTAACAAGCAAAAAGGCAGTAAAAAGTTCTCGAACGAGTATTTGTTCGAGTTTATAGGTCCGAAATCTTAATTTCCACCGACATTTTCCGCCTCTTGATTGTGTTTTCTAAAATAAATCTCCGGCAGTGGGCTTAGGCGAGAATAATTAGAATCTGTTAGAGGAATATGGCCCCCCGAAGAGCATCGGTTATCCTAGACGTGTCCTCCGATAACGTCACGAATAAAAACCAATTTAGTCGAATGACCTCGTCGACCGTTTGTCTCAATCACGGCTTAGGAATGTCTTCCTTGCGCCGGTCTAACACAACGAAATGTGAAATAATGAGAGCAATTAATTCAATTAACCGTTAATTAATGGCGTCCTAGCGTTCGTGTTTCGCACGGGTCGGGTTCGCTAATGGCGTTTTGAGCTGGCCATCAATATTTTGAAGTCGCTTAATGCGTGTAATTGAGGCATTGCTACTGATGTCGTCCTATGCCACCCACTCCTCCTCTTTGCCCTATCTTCCTCCCGCCTATCCTACCCTCCAGCTTCCTAGATCTTTCTGCCGAGATAAACTGCCCATTCGAATAACTACATCGAAGAGGAACACTTTATCTCTCCCTATCCTAATCTATACTAACTTAATACCACAGCTTCCGAGTTAGTCAGTGTAATTTACCTAATACTTAATAATCAAACAATCTGCCATTTTCAGGCAAAGAACATTTTCTCAAAATGAAATTATCCAATTATTTTGAAATTATCTAGTATTTCTACAAAGTCACACATATATATATATATATATAGATAGGGAGTCAGGTGGTTCCCTTACAAAATTCTTATGTTACAAAATTTTACTGCATTACGGTGTTAAAATGGGGCAATAAACATTGGCATTCTGCCCTTTGGTTTTCCCAAAACTGATTGTAAGTCAATGATTCATTTAAATACTGTATCATGAGATACGCTTAAATACCAATGTACAACTTCTGGAAGATCTTTGTACGATTTCATTTAATTTTGATAACAATACGAATAGAACTTCTACAGAACAAAAACCGAATATAGAAATTGCACTTTTCATAGTCGTCAGTTTTTTCGACGTTTATGTGAAAGTATCACCTACTTCTCTAGAAAATTGTCCTAAACTAACCTCTAAACTCTCAAAAGAAAGTGTAATACCTCTCAAAAGCTTTAAATAACATTTGTTAGACTATTATTTTTATGAAAACAATGCCGGAAGGTCGGTATTTGTACGAATTTTACTATATCACGTCGTATTTTCCAAATAATGAAGCTATTATAATAGTATAGATTTTTCGGCGGATCGAGACGGAAAAGCCATAAATCATTTCTACAACGGGGTAGGTATANAAAAATGATATCTATGGCATATACGTATATAAACTCTGCAAAAGTTACTAGTGTAAATATTATTTTTAGTTAAGTACCTACAGATAATAAAAAGGTACCTACATTAAAAAAAAAATAATTAATCGCATAAAGCCTACATGTTCTTCCTACGTGACAATGATGTCATAAAAATACGTATTTTTTCGTTTTCTATGTTTCTATGAAATATATTCATCAATTCCGGATGCACACATGACCTAAGCTAAATCAGATACATTTTATAGCATGTGTGGATGATAACCTTCCGGTTATAGCGAGCACAAACTGGCAATTAAATTCGCATATTTTACTCGACTAGCAATTTACATTTCCATAGCAGATATAGATATAGATAATCAAAATAGATTTTATAGCGATTCGAAAATAAAATACATGTTTTGCGCAAACGGATAAGACTCATATAACGCGAAGAATTCTTCTAAGTTTCTTAAGTAGACCAGCAACTACTGTTTAAATGTCAGTAATCCATCAATGTTCCACGACATAGAAATCAGTGAGAAATTCTATACGCTGACCATTACAAAAGTACTTAATCATGTCAGATGCCTCGAAGAAACCTATAAAATAATTTATGCCTCCCCTACAATTATCTTCACTAGCCGTAAACGTCCAACAGGTAAGTACAGTACGTCTTATGTTAGCACTATGTTCTCTGTAGCTGTTCTTTATTAATTAGAGCAAAAACAATTTTAAATACGATGAACACGACGTACGTTACATTTAATTGCTTTATATGTACATAATGTAATGTTTCCTTCAAAAAAGTAAACAAGGGATTTAAGGAGTCACAGTAATAGATAGTAGACATCTATTGATTGTGAACTTTTTATCAACGATCCATAAACGATACATTTATACCAATTATAGTAATGTAAGAAAACTCATAATTCTGCAATTTTATGGCTTTTATGCCTTAGGGTCATCACCCATCATTGGATGCCAGATTGGTTCTCAATGAGATTATGATTCCCTTACACATGGCGCCATTTGTCAAACGGAGATTAATTATTTCTTCCTATGGTAAATTATTTAGAAATTCGAAAAAGATTGTTAAAGGAGTATAATTGAAGCGCGGCGCTGTACGGGTGCGAAACATGGACAGTTGGCGCTGCGGAAAAAAGGTTAGAAGCGTTAGAAATGTGATGTTACAGGCGAATGATAAGAGGTATTAGAAAGAATAGAAGAACAGAGGATCCTATGGAAGTCAATAAAAAATAGGTGAGATAGGTTGGTAGGACACCTTCTCAGGCATGAAGGTCTAGTCAGAGACATATTACAGGCAGAAACAGGAGTTAAGGAGAAGTATAGCAAATAGTTAAGGATATTTGATATTCTAGTTTTATTAGCTCAGGATACCAAACAACACTTTTATAGTGTTGTATAAGGTCATTCCTGCCTTTTTCCACCGCCTTCTCACATATTACATGCGGGTCCCATGTTATGTAAACATGAGGGTGCCATTTTTAATACAATTTAACGGGTACCACACAGTATTACAGATACATAAATACATAAATATGTACATGCACACAGTAGGAGCATATAATAAATACAATAATGATAGCTGTGGTGAGTTGAATCGTGTGTAAGCATGATGATGTGTTTTAGTAATGCCGATAGCCGATAGCTATTCTTCAGAAACACAAAAGCTACTGCATTTGTGCGATGGTTTTATAGCGAATTGTTAAATTGCAAAGCCATTATTTGAACACGAATGATTTAATGGTATGGCATGCCGTAATCTCTTCCTATATATCTCACACACTTACATTTTTTGGTCCCCGATGGTGAAAAATGTTTACAATTTTTGATGATACGAATTATTTACTTATACATTTTTCCGATGAGAGGTATGTACACCGTTAGCTATTGTAAGCGCTACAGGAATAGAGAGATCAGTCGACACGTACTTTAGTTTATAAAAACTTTTTATAATACCTAAACCTCAACTTTCAAAGAACTAAACGACCTTCTAAGAAAATTATAACGGTAACTTATTATAGTGGAAAATAAGAAACACAGCAATACGTTTTGTAAGAAAATATGATAACTATTTACCTGCAACAATTTATATTTATAATTTTTTAATAAGTAGTTAAAGTCATTAATAATTTAATTAATAACTAAGCCATTTATGTACTTTTGATTTGTTGATTCATCAATTAAAATGAATTTGTCATTAGAACATAAGTAGAAGGTGTACATTGGACAAACAGGCACATCTTTTAATCAATGGACTTAAGAACATAAAATCAGGAAGAAGCGCATTATGATGTGCCACCAACAAATTGTAGTACCTCATAATATGCAACTTTCTGTTTCTTCTAACATAAAAAATTTACATACTTTTTCATCCAGTTCCCATTGACCTAAAACCGTGTGTGCCGCCTTTAATTTTTTCTCATAGTTTTTCTTTTTCATTGTACCTACTGATGCTCTCAATCGTATTACGCCATCACATCAGTGGTGGTAAAAGTAAAAACCTTTAAAAGCTATCGCACAAGGCTAGCGTGCTCACGAGTTGTAATTTAAATTTCTTAAACGTCACTCACAACTATGACTTCAACACTTTTTTTATCCACGAGTTAAATAAAGAGAAACAAATATGTAGTGTAAAAGGTAATTTAACGTTGAGGTGAAAATGTTTTTAAACACTGACATATACTTACATGCTGGCTGATGACCACAATAGATTTACCTGAATGGGATGCTAATGTTATTGCGCAAAGGACCATGAAGGGTGCTACCACAACTAACGTTAACAAAAGCAACAACTTGTCCTCTTTTTCACCCTATGTATATTTACAGGACTTGACTACAATAGGAAAAATAAAGAGAGCAAACGTTTTACATGCGCAAATATAAGGCCTATTTGTAATTTTAATTTGATCATTATAGTTGTTCACCATACTTCAAGGTGTTCAGGTGAATTGCTCTAATTAATTATTACTTCATATTTTTAAACTGATAATTCAAAACCGAGTACGCGTTAACTAAAAGTGTTGTCGTTAATTGGAATCTATTTGCATCGAGTTAAACATGTTTACAGTATTAATGAAGCTACTGTTCGCATTAATTAGTGTTTCTGTTAAATGGAATAAGTCCTATTTTGTGTTGTAA